AAATCATACAGCTGTGAAGACTTGCCTTTGTTTCTATTAGATGGCTTTTCAGTTCTGTATTAAATATCTTAAGTACTATAGAGAAGGTGTCCCCTCTTCCTATAAGGCTGTTTTGTAATATATATAAGGACTGGAAATGTGTTTTTAAAGAGAAGAAGCATTCAAGTATGACGATATACTATCTGTGTTTTCACCATTCAAAGTGCTGTTTTAGTAGTTGAAACTTAAACTATTTAATATCTCATTTAATAAAGTGACCAAAATACATCAACGTGCCTTGTGCTACATTCCCAACCCAGCGTTCACACCTCAGGGATTCAGCCTGGTAACATCTTTGGAGAACTGTGCTGTGAGTTGAAGTTCTTACAGTTTCCTACAATTACTTTAGTGAATGTAGCCATTTATTTCCTTTAGGGAAAAAAGATTTTCAAATTACTTTAATTAGTAACAGCTTCTGCCTGTCTGTCTGTTAAGAATGAAGTGAGTTAACCAGCAGTGAGATGGTTAAAAGGAAGATCTACTTAGTCAAATCAGAATAATGTGCTGCTGTATTTTAACCTCATAATTGTACTTCTCTCTTCCTTAGTTACTAAATCCCACCTGTTGGGAAAAAAAAAACAACCTTTCCTAAGTGAAAAAAAGTGTGACAGTTGTGTTGAAATGTACYCTCTGCTCATTCCCTGGGGATGCTGGGCTGCTCAGGGGCAGAGCCRATCTTGGTAAAGTTGGGGGAGGTGGAAATGGTGTCTGGGCTGAAGATGGTGAGTTGTGCTCCAAGGGACACCGTGGGCAGCGTGTCTTTAAATATCCTGTGACTTCTAACTTGGCTGAACACTTTGATGGYGGGCAGTGGGCAGCTCAGGCTGGATGTTGGGCTCTGTGGGGCTGGGAAGCATCCTTGGACAAGTCCCATATCCAGAATGTGCTGAGGTGCCCCAACACTGACCAGCCCTGTGTCAGTTGTGCCCACCCTGAGCAGCTTTTGCCTGTATCTTAAAAGCAAAACCACACTGCACACAGTAAATAAAACTAAATTCATCAGTTCAAGCAAGAAATAGTTTTGAAGTTGGATAGGTTTTCAGTGTTTATGGAAAGCCAAATGTCCTAAACGTTCCCAGCTGGAGGAGTATGGAAAAATGCTGGTGTTGCAGCACCAGCCATGTAATCACGCAGTGTCTGAACTTCCCAGACCTGCTCAGGTGTCCAGTAACCCCCTGTGCACCTTCTGTGCCGTGGAACCCACCCTGGGGATGTGGCCTGGGATGGAGTTCCGACAGAATTCCAAACGTGTCTGGGAAAGCTGTGCTGCTGAGAAGSGTCTGGAGAAGCTCCTGCCCTGGTATGTGTGGCTGGGATGAGTGTTTCAWCCAGCCACTGCTCCTGTTCTGCTTTCCCCAGGGATGAGGTGGCTTTGGGGTGGCTGGAGGAGAGAGTGGGGAAGGGGACACWGCCCTGGAGAAGGGCAGGGGCTCGGGGAAGCTGGGTGCAGGGGGAGGTCTGTTCTGAAACMCCCCTGGCTTTGTGTGTGCACAGAAACTGCTGGGATCGAGTGTGAGGCAGTAACTGATACCTGAGCACTCCTCAGAGCCTGAGCCAGCCACAACAGCTGCTTTAGGAATTCAGTTGCACGGAGCRTGTTGCTCATTTCCCACGAGCAGCAGTGGTGGTGGACACGTACCCTGGCCACGTGTGGCGTGGTGTGGTGACCTGCCCTGCTCAGTGGCATCTCGGTGCCAAATACGTCCTGGCACAGTGAGGGAAGAGCCTGAGAATCCTTGGAATTTGCTTCCCAAGGCTCCTAATCCAACCCAGCGCAGGTACAAGGTGATCCCCTTGGTGTTTTCCTTGAGAATTCAGCAGCTGTGAGGCAGTTATTGGCTCTGGAAAGAATAACCAGTGCTATCCCAAGGGGTGTGGATGTCTTTGTCTCCCAATTGACAGGAATTTCAGCCCTTCTCCCTCAGAAATGCTCCATTCCTGGGTGCCCTTCCAGAAACATCTCAGCCACGGTCTGGYAGCTGCAGCACATCTCCCTGGATGTACAGCCAGGTGGGACAGCACCAGGACACCTTCACTGCCTTCCAGCACTCAGTTTATGGATTCTCTCTGCAGTTTTGGGCTCTCCATCTCTCTCTGCACAGGAGGTGAGTCTTTGATGCCTCCAATCCTTTTCCCCCTTGGAGAARGGAGCCCCAAGGCACACACACCAGCCAGAAGAGCTCCCCACAGGCAGTGGGGTCTCTGTGGAGGTGTCCCTGAGGTCATGTGTATRTTGCCACTTGTAGGTTTGTCTCCAGGGTCCATCCCTGTGCCTTGGATCATGAGCCAAAGCCGGGAGAAGGGCACGTTTGCTGTGCTGGGCTCCACCTTGGCCTCTCACAGGGAGCTCCCTTCCGCAGTGAGACTCCAGCACTTTCCCACCTCTTTGCTGCCAATCTCCTCCCTCCTGCTCTGCACAGCTGTCCTGGGATAATGTTTCCCATACAACAGGCCCAGCCCTCTGGGTGGAAGGAGAAGGGCTGAAAGCRATGCCTTTTGTCCTGTTTGCTGTGGTGTTTCCAGACCCACAGTCCTGTGTGTAAAACAGTTCAGGGYACAGTGGGGTGTCCAGGGACCACGGCCACCCGCTGCACCAGACTTTGCCTTCCCTTTTGGAGAAGTTTTCCAGTTGKCTGTAGTGACTTCGAATCATATGGAATCTACACAAGCTGTGACCGCAAACCCTGTTTCTTTTTTCTAACTCAGGAAATTCTGTCAGATTGAAGCATCYCAAACATATTTTCCTCTCAAACTTTCCTAGCAGGGTCCATCTGCCAGCCCTGTAACACCTCCAAGCTGAAGGAGCAGTTGGCATCTCCAGGTGGGGTAACAGCTGGACCAAGGGGATGGGGTGGGGTGGAGAGGTGAGTGTGCCCACACAAACCCCCTGTGCATCACTGCCTGCTCCTGTGCTGCTCAAAATGCACCCCATGTCTGTGGTGGCTCCCTCTGCTGCTCTTCAGCACCCAGGTCACTGACATCTTCAGCTGCTTTGCTGAACCAGAACCAAACACAGTAAAAGAACCATTTCTTTTCCTATGTAAGAACCATTTGGGTGAGATTTAGCAGTGCTGAATTCCCCCTGTAACAAATGTCCCACACAGGACAGGATACCAGCCTTTACCAAGGGGTTTCCAGTAAATTCTTTGAGGATTTTGCTTTTTGTAAGTATGAGTTTTATGAAGCCAGATCCCAAAAACGTGTTTCAGAGCATCCCTGGCACTTGTGTGTCCCTTTGGGGCAGGAGTCTCTGCTGTAGCAGCTTTTGAGTTGGGTATTGGGTATCAGAAGAACAAGTCCAGTGTTACCCCCAAGGGCCAAATCATCTCCCTTTGGAGTTGGTAAAAAATGTACTTGGCATTGCTGAGACCAGGTTTTGACCTTCATTTTGAAGTGGAGCAGGATTTTAACAGCAGATTATCAGCACAACAGAAAGCCCTGGCCAGAGGGTGCAGGATCATCCCGGGGGGCAGAGCSAGGCTCCAGGGCTGAGGGATTTCCCTTCGTGCAGGGGAAGGTCAAAAGTGCACCTGAGGACGCGTCTCGTGAGCGATCGAGCTCCCGACACAGCAGCCGGGGATGAGATGTTTCGGCAGTGACTCAGAGGAAGAAGCTAAATAAACTCTTTTTATTTCAAACACGGGATTAAATTCCTCCATGTCTGGATCATTGAAGGTAAAGCTCCTGTAATCTCCTCATTGCCAACCCCAGCCTGTCGTCTGGTGGCTGCCGGAGCTGCTGGGACAGCGAAGGGACGTGGCAGGGACATGGGAGGTGGCAGAGCGGGCAAGAGACAGCCGAGAGCAGAGCTGGGCACTAGGGCTGCTGCTCTGTTAGTGTTGTAGCCCATGAAGAAGCTGGTGGGGATCATCCCTGGGTCATGAAAGTGTCCGGGGAATTCACAGGTTGAAGCTGACGGAGCTGAGGTTTTACCGTGACTGTTTCTCGAGGAGGGGATTAAGAAACACTGAACAAAGCAGTTGTGATAAGGAACATCCAAAGCCACCATGGCTGTGGTTGTTCAGGTTTTTGCCCACTGCAGAGAGCCCTGTTTGCTATCAGCCTCTCCTGCTGCTACAGAATGCCTGTGCCTCTGCAACTATACCCTCCTGCTCCCACCGTGTGCTGGAATCCCTCTGCTGATCACCGGGACAAAACACAAACTGGCATCATGGCTGGAAGCTTTCCCTACRTTCTGTGACATTTCAAGCAGGCAGCAAGGGCAGACGTGTGGCACAATGTCCCTGGGGGGACATTGCTGGCTGGAGGGGCACAGCCAAGTTCCCCCATGAGTGTCCCTGGCCTGGCCTGACTGGAGAAGGGCTGTGGCTCTCTGGTGCTGTTGGACACCAGCTGGGAATCTGGGGCTGGCTCAGGGCTGCGAATGCCATCAGGTTTGCTGAGCCCAGCTGGAGGCAGAGGAAAGGTGACAGCACTGTGTGACCAGGCATCTTCTGTAGAGGAAAACACCACACAGCCATGGATGTCCACGCACTGCCTGCAGGGATGATCCTCATCCATGGTAACTGCCTAAAAGTGGGGATGTAGAATTGCCGTTGTTGCTTTCTATTCCTCCACTGATTTTTCATGGTGATGCAGGTAAACCTCATGCAAGATGTGCTGGTTATTGTAGGAATGGTGGGTCCATCTGAGACGCAGCAGGTGCTCCAAATGTTTGTCCTCTTGAACAGTAAATCCAGGGAGGATGCATCATACCCCAAGGAGATTGAGCTGCCCACGACTCCTGCCAAGAGCTGAGCTGGTGCTTCCCAGACCTGTGATTTGATGTCATCCTGCTGCAGGAGTCTGGGGCTTAGCTAATTGATCTTTATTGCACAAAGCCCTTTTAGAGGTGATTTGAATGTTCATATTGATGGGGAAATTCTGGGTTATTTGTTGAAGAGTGCCAAAAAAAAGGGCTAGCAAGAAATCTACAATATAAAGACAATTTTATTGCCGATAAGCTCTTAAAACTCATTTTTTTTTCCTGTTTCAGTAGGACCTTATTCTTCCTGATGAAAATCCGGTCATAGCATCTCTCATTAAAAATAAAATTATTTTGAAATAAATAAATATATAAAATAAATATCATATACATTTTATAAATAGTTTTGTCCTTATCCACAGTATCCATGCTTACATCTGAATAATGTTCCTCACCCCATTCGCACCCCAACAGCAGGAAGAACCCCACACATCAGGACCAGTCCATGGAGGATCATCCATGTAGCAAACTCCCAGGCTGCTTAAGCAGGGCACCAGTCAAAGGCTTTTCCTTAGCAGGGAGCTAACCCAGCTCAGCAGCAGCATCTGCAGCAGTTCTGTGGTCTTTGTTTTCTTTTCTCCTCTTCATTTTTAGGTTGTTTTGGGGCCTTTTTTCCCCCACAGTGATCACGTTTGCTCACCTGCTTGTCCCTTTAAGCAACCATAACACTGAATATTCAGCCTCTCTTGCAGCAACCGGGTAACAAAAGTGAATGAAAATGGAAGATTAAATGTAGGGTTCCCTCCCTTGCCCTACCCCCGCCCCATAAATAACCCAGGTTCGATATACGCTGGAAACAAGGAGGAACAGCAGTGTCTGAATTCAATGTAAGTGCTTCCCTAGGTCATCTACGCTTACAGGAATGATGGAATGACTATTAATAGAGTGCTCTGGGGAAAAGCTTGGGAGCCCAAGTATGTACACTGACACTGCAGGAACCATCACCTGTAGTGGAAGAGGTCTCTGTACATGGCAGGGATTTTGGCAGGGTCCACAGGCCGGGGTAAGAAGTGGGTGAATTTCTGGTGTCTCTTAGTCCTGTACCCCTCGCGGGGGGAGCCGTCCTTGTTGAGGGCCACGTAGTACTGGCGCTCCGAGTCGGGGTGCTTGTACAGGGTCGAGGCGTACGTGTTGTACCAGTTCTCCTCAAACTGCTCGCGGAACACGCACTCCCKGGTGAGCTTCTTCTGCCGTGGGCAGCACGGGGGGAACAGAGAGATACTCGTGTCAGAAAGTGAAAATAGAAAACATTCTCTCCCTTCCTTGCTTTATTTTTCTAGCATTTTCCCAGCTGCCATCTGCTGGCTGTCCTCCTGAGGACAGGGACTGTGCTGCTGGGGATGCTACCCCTGGGTGAGAGCTGGAAATGGGCAGAAGACCCCAAGGACTCTGGAGTTGGARGAGGAAGGAGACAAGAGCAGGAGAAGGTGGGTGTGCATTTTGCAAAGGTGCCCTGTGAATAAATCAGACAAGGACACAGCAAAGCCCTAAACCTACCTACCTGTGAGTTTGGAGCTTGCTGGGGTGGCCATGCCACCAGGCAGGGACACATCTACCTGTAGCAGCCCTCTCCAGGGTACCACCCAGCCCAAACCCCCTCTTTGGGGTGAGAGAAGCATCAGGAAGCAGATCTGAAGGGTGTAAACAGGAAAGCAGGAGCAAGCACTACTTTGGAAGTTCAGGGCACACAGCTGGATGTGCTGTGATGGGGATGAGACCATTCCTCAGGGATTCACCTCCTAGTGTGCCAGTGAGCTCCCAGTGATGGGAGGCTGTAACAGGACCCAGAGAGATGTGGGATGCCAGACCCAAGGGAAGATGCAGGGTGGTGATAGGTGATGTGGTGAGGATGTGTGGCTGGTGTATCCCATGCTGGGATGGGGGACAGATGGCACTGGTGTCACCACAGCCACAACCAGCCTTTCCATCCAGCCCTTACAGCTGGGGGCTGTTAGCAGTGGCTGTTTGATGATGGGCTTTTAGCTCATGTCCATGCTCCATCTCTCTCCTTCCCATCTCCTGTGCCAGCTACAGGGGTGTGCCCAGCTGCAGTGGGGAACGGGCTGTTCCCCTGCCCCACGAGGACATACACGAGGAGGTGGCTTTGCCAGCGCTGCTGTGCTGTCACAGAGGGTCCAGCCATCCCATCCCATCCTATCCTGCAGGGGTACTGCCAGGGTGACTGGGAGCCCTTTCAGCTGAAAGACTGTCTGCAAATTAGAGAGCTCTAATATTACACCCACTGCACCTCACTGTAAACTATCCGGGCAGGGAATGTGTCCCCGCTGCAGCACACAGAGTGCTCAGTAAATGTTACTGCTCACAGTAGATGTGTTTTGTAACACAATCCAGGAGCTCACTTGTGCTCAGAACCTGTTTTCAATGTTTTGCTGCTAATTAAATAAAGCCCGGGGTGAGCTGTGAGCCCTCCAGAAGTCCTAGGCCACAGTCCTGGCCATCTGAGACCCAGGGAACTGTGGGCTTCTCTTCCCAGACCTGTCAATAAATCCAGGCTGGTTTTTTTCCCTCCTCTCAAATGCCATCTAGTTGGAATATGTTGGAACCTGATGACTGGCTGAACTCTGGCTGTTGCTTTGCCCCCATTCACCCATGCTGCACAGGGCAGTTTGGAGTACAGTGTTTGTGGAAAATGTTTGGCGAGTCTGGGGTGACTCTGCAAGGTGTGATTTATTCCTTTCCAAGCCCCGGGATGTCCCCACTGAACCTGACACCATACGGGCAGCGGGTAAGGTGCTGCCCATGACTTTTGCTGCCCTAAGTATTAGTGGCATTTCTGAAATCGTTGGGAAGCTTTACAGAAATGTTGGCACGAGATCAACAGGGACAGGCGGAAAAGCTGTGTGTCCCAAGGGGACTCCACGTGTCGCTGTGGGGATGGCTGGCTCTGGCTGCATCAACACAGGCATCAGGCAAAATTGGCACAGAGGGAAATAATAAACTTGCTGAAAATTTAAAAATACTGCTGCACTGTGATCTCCCAAAATACCATTGTAATGCTAATGCTGTTGTCAGGCGCTGTTTTATGGACCTTTAATTAAGAATACTGTAGTGGCTTTTGAGTTCGAAAAGCCATCATTGTACAACCCACGTGTCCCAGATTTTAAAACTCCAGGGTTATTTGGGGACCTGGCTCGTGACGCCAGCACAGTTTGGAGCAGCAGTTTGACTGCGTCCCTGCAGTGTCCTGCCTGGTGCACAAGATCCCAGAACGGTTTGGGTTGGAAACAACCTCAAAGATCACYTCATTCCAACCCCCTGCCATGGGCAGGGACAGCTCCCATGACTGTCTTCAGGTCAGCTCTGTTTCCAGATTCAGTGCTGTAAAATGTTCTCCTATTTTTGTTTCTGTGTTGTAACATGAACACAAGCTCTAGAATTTAATTAACCCATCATGAAACTCGATTCACAATCAGAGCTGCAGGGTTTAAGGCAAAGAGATGGGGTACACATAGGCTCATGTTCACCAGCCGGGACAAATGAAAACTGCTATTGCGGGAGCTGCTGAGCAGCCTTGGGGTTTGACAGGAAAGCCCTGCTTTCTGAAGTGTGCTTCAGCAGATTCTGTGCTTTATGGAATCCTGGTGATTTTTCTTTTTTTCTGTTTTGCACATTTGTAATTTAACCACTGTCTCTGCATTTAACTGCTGTGTAGGGTAGAAGCTGYTAAGAAATGAGGTGAGAAAAGAACAGTTCTTGGTGCATGCAGTATTTGATGATCAGAGAACCACGGAGTGGTTTGGGTTKGAAGAGACCTTAAAGCYCCTCTTGTTTCACCCCCCACCCTCGGCAGGGACAGCTTCCACTACCCCAGGTTGCTCCCAGTCACATTCAGCCTGGCCTTGGACCCTTCCAGGGATGGGGCATCTACAGCTTCTCAACAGCAACTGCATCTTGAACCAAGACATGGTGAAAGGGTCTGTGGCAATCTCCAGTGGGAATGGGAGAAGGAAAGATTAGAGAAACTAATTGTTTACTGTTTGCTAATCAAAGGTTTTCTGATGGCTTCTCTCTATGCTGACTACGAGACTGACTTGATTTGGTGAGAGAAAGTACTGCCTTCTGCTTTGGCTTAAAACTGGTTTATTTTATTTAATTTTATTTTTACTGTGATCCACCCTTCATTGAGCTAAATAATTAGGAATTGAATTAAATTAACCTGTAGGAAGCACCTCTGCCCAGCTGTTAAGACCTGGCATTTTGACTGCCATTCATAACATTTAACGAGCTTACACTTGGGGTTTTGTGTCAAAATATGGAAAAWTTTAGCCTTAAAAGGGCACTTCTAAGAAATCATGAGCAGCAGCCCTGAACTCCTAAAAGGAGTTACAGAGAATTTTGCAGTAACACTCAGGCCACGATTTCAGCTTCTGTTGGTTAATGAGCCATAATATAAAGATAAGACCTGCAGATGGATGCAGACCTGACCACACAGAGAATACAACTGATGTATTACTCAGGCTGGGAAAACACAGAAGTAGCTCCTGGTTTTATGCTAAATGTCCCCCTGACTTATCTGGCCATTGCCACACTATTTCTGAAGGGCAAAACATCAGTGAGTCCCTCCAGCTCCCTGTGATGGCCCCAAGAGGTGCTCTCACAGCAGGAGTGAATCCTCYCTCAAACCCTATTTCATATATATCATTTATGTTATAACAGCAGTGGCATCAAGAGTAGGATGGACATCAGTGGCAGCCCCAGGACATGGGAGGCCTGTCACAGAGCAGCTCGTGACACAGCTGAGGCTGTGGGACAGGAGRGAATCAGCCCAGCCTGAACTTACCGACCCATAGAGCTCGCCTCTCTCATTCATGCCGAGGTAGAGTCCGGAGTCCACCCCACGGATGCTCACCAGCCCCACTGCCAGGCTAATAAACTCCAATATCCCTAAAACAGAAAAGGACTGCAAATCATACAGAGGAAAAAACCCAGCAGGMTCCAGCAACAAAAGCAAACCAGCCWTTCCCAACCTTTGCAAARCTTCCTACAGACCCTTTCTTATTTATAACAATACAGTTCTTAACTCTATAGTCCCATCTGTGTGCAATCTTCTGATTTCCAGCCTGGGCTTCTCCCCAGCACTGTGAATTTAAGTTGTCCAAGAGGGATTACCTTTGCTAATGAGAAAAGCTTTGCAAGGCTTTGTTGGTTTGGATTTGGATTTTTTCCAAATTATCACCAAGAAGACATGTAGAAACTTGTGCCTGGCCATTAGAAATTTCAGAAGGCTGTTACTGTGCTGGGTCTTATCCTTCACTGAAAGGAGTGTGATTTTGTCTTCCGATTAAGATGGTTTATCCACAGGTTTTTAAGTGATGAGTTCAGTAAAAAGAAGTGAAAATTACTAGCAGAGATATCTGTGAGGACCATCTTCATCCTGGCACTCCAGTGGGGTACTTGCCAACCCAACATGTATATACAAGCCACAGGGATACAATCCAGCTTCAGAGGACACAGGTAGAAATGCATCTTCTTCTGCAGCCTTTGGACACACGGCGCTACCAGTCCTTTCTCCTACCCCCTACCACCATTACTGCCAGAACCCCTTCCTTGCCTGTAGTCCTGCTGCCTGTCCCAGCCTCCTCCCAGTCCARCAGCATCTGTCCAGCCATCCCCAGCCCTGCAAGAGCAACTGTTTTATCCATGGGCTTCAGCCTGCTGTGCTGGTGTCAATACTTTAAAAAAGAGGGGCAGCCTCATTTTGTCTGGGAAGAAACAGCAGRGTCTGCCTGCTGCACCCCCACAGCYAGCAGCTGTTTTGATGGGGGAAAGAATTGTAACAGGAGAACCTTTGGTGAAGCACTCAAAACCAAAAAGCCCCTACTCAACACCACAAGTGGTGGGGAACTTCAAACTTTCCCAGAAGACCTCCCAAAGGCCGTGGTGGGACTGTGTTATTATGGATGTCACACACTACCTATCTMGAGGTCATGGGGACTCTTGCCCATGTCGAGGGCTGGATTAATTAGCTGGGAGGTAGAAGGAAGAGGGTTTTCCTCATCTCATCTGACAACTGCATGTCTGCATTGACYGGAGGACAAAGTTGCTCTAACCTTTAGCGTGGCTCCAGCTCCCCTAATATAGSTCCCAAAACATCCAACCCTGGGCAATGGATACTCTGATCAGGTTACCTCCCAGAGCTCCTCTTTAAAGTATTGCCCTGGTTTAAAGCCACCGCGTGACAAGCGGCCACCTGAGCCAGCTGACTTCAGTGGCAGCCACAGCTCCTGGTCACCCCTCAGCCTGGGGCACATCTTCAGCTCAGCCAGGCATGGATGGGACAATTTTCAGACGACACCACATCACTGCCTAAATATAGGACAGACCAGGCAGTGATGGCCACCCTGTCCCCCTTCACMCAGTGCAGATTCATCATTCGGTGCTGGCAGCTAAGCTGGCTGCAAGAACTCCTACCTTCTATCAGACTTTCTGTCTCACTTTTCCCCTCCCTACTCTGGGGCTTGTGAATAAACCCAGCCCTCTCTGCAACCAGTGGGTGCTAGGGGAGATGAAATAAGGACTTGGGAGCGGCAAGTCCTGGAGACAAACAGGGAAGCAAATGATACAAAATACACTTTATGGACCAGTGCAGACATTTTACAGGCTAAAATATGCCCAGCTACACATCCTGGCCTGGGGATGCATCCTGCCTGCAAGAACACCAAGAACAGCAGGCACAGGCAGGGAAGGTAGCCTTTCCAAGCCAGACAGGCACGGTCCTGGCTCTGCTCTCCTTAGTAGTTATTGTGGTTTCCTAGCTGAAAAGAATCCTAAAGAGGGAGCAAAGAAGTGCAGGATGAGGGGAGGTCTCCTCCCTCACTACCCACCGGTTCTGACACGAGGGAGTTACTCAACCGCTGAGTGATTTTTGCCATCYGCAGGGCAGAAATGACCACAGCCACTATTTGAAAAGGAGGGAGTGAAGGAAGATGGGCAACTACAGGGAGTGTAAAAAGTAATACAGGAGTACAGAAACACACCCAGGAATGGGGGAATCTTTCCCAGGCTGGAGGCGAGGGAATGTTCAAGTGAAAAATATCAGGCAACTGGAGAGTGGTAGATGGACTTCCTATAGGGATAGACACAGTCCTCAGCATTCCTTTTTGTTCCTGTACTTCTGGGAAACAGGAAAATACTGCTGGTTCTATTGAGAAACTGAGGGAGAGCTGAGCTTTTCTTGAGTATGGCCACAAGCATGCTCTGTACAAGGCACATGAATCTAGGTCTCCAAAGACCTGGTAAGGACCAAGCCAGAAGCAGCATCAGCATCTACYCTCTCTGAGCAGGTAGGTGAGACATCCCTTATCTGGTGCAGGTTGGGTAGCTACAGGTTCTGCAAATGAAATTTCTTCCAAGGTGCCCATGACAATCTCTTCTGACAACACCCCTTGTAGTATTCCCCTTTTCTGATCTTTAACTGGCACTTGAAAACATGTATGGAAGATGACTATGTTGAAAGCATTAAGAACGTAACGAACCCACRAAAGTCAGGAGACAGAGTGAAGGCTGAAAATATGTGGGCGGATATCCATCCTGTCCTTAACTCACTCCAGTTCTAGACAAAATTGCAGCTTCGTACATCTGATCTCCAGCAGCACAGGGAGTGGCCACTGGGGCCAGCTCAAGAATTCTCTTTCCAATTGTAGCGGTGTGTTTTTGTGGTAAAACATGCTTTTGTTCTTTTCTTTTCCTTTCTTTTTTTTTCTTTCCCCCAGGACTTGCCTTCCTTTTTTCCTTGCTTTGATTATTCATTCTCTTTGTTCCTTGAACCTTTCCCGATAATACTTGGAGAGATTTGATTAAGACTCTGACTGGATTATTTTACCACCAAAGTGCTGAATAATCTCCTGAGCTTTGCCACGGCTGGACCTGCACACTCTCGCCTTACTCTAAAGCATCCCTCAAAGAACAATTCAGCTCCCTGCACCTGTCTCTTCTTACATGAATGTATTCAGGAGCCGGGGTACAGAAACATCAGATRCTGTATTAATGGCTACAAACCCAAAGCTTCAGCTAAAAACCTCAACAACTGTTCAGCAACAGGTGCAATGTGATCTGAATGTTAAAATTGCAGCAAAACTTTCTCTGGAGGTCTCAGCAGCTTCTCTAGGAGCCTGTGTAACAGACCCATGAGCAGGCTTGTACCCGAGAAGAGCTTCATTTGCTGACTTTAGTTGTCTGCACTGCAACSTCGAGGCCTCTTTCTCTTCTCCACTGTAGTGAGCAGCACCATTGGGTTCAGTTGTTTAATGCTGCTGTAAAAGACATGTGAGGCAGAAAAGGAGCAGTTCTTCCTGGCAGGGATTTTCCTCCTGGCATATTTCTCTCAGTTTCATTCTGAGAAGGATTGTCATAGGGGTGCTAATGTCAGTCCAGACCGCCTCCACAGTTTGATTGTCTTTTATTTCTTTGTAGAGGAAGGTTCTGAGCAGATGCAGTGCAAGAGATATATTTTTGAAAACATTTCATTCTTTCTGGGGTGACTTTGCCAGAGCTGCCAGTTCAGAGAGTGAATTTAGGCACTTCCCTTGTGTGAGAATGAGCTTTCTTCCAACAAACCTAGAGGGCTTTGCCACATTTTGCATTAGACCTCCTCTAGGAAAAATAAGCTGTGGTCCATTGTTCTTGCATGAATCTGTGTTTTTACAAGTATAAAGTATCACATTCCAGAAGACAGGTGTGATTTAGGAAGGCTCCAGTCCTCGACAGATGAGAGGCAGTAGCTCCTGTGATTGCTCAGGCAGTGTGGGTGGATGATGCCAGTACCTCCCCTGTGTCTCACAGTCACACCCCCAAATGCTGTGGTACAAAAGGAACTCTCCCTTTAACCCTCACTGTTGGGACCTTGGGACTCTGTTCTGCATCAGCAGGGCTTTGGCTCTTTATTTTCCTCTCTGGAAGATGYGGATGTCTTGCACATCTGGTAGCTTTTGGCATGGCTACGCATGGGAGGGTGCAGATACTCCCTGTCTATTCCTGAATTCCTTCCAAACTAAGAGACAGGGATGCCAAGTCTGGTCCTACCCTACATCCCACCTGCAGCTGGACTCGTGCCTTGGCTCGGCATCGCAGCCATCCATGGAGCACATTAAATATCTGCTTATGTACCAGGGAGCACCTTCCAGCCACGTGGGCTTGATCCACTTAACCATCATACTGGATTTCTAAGTATTTCTGCAGATGCMCCAAGATTTAAGGCATATTTAAACTGCTTCCCTGAACCCCTCTGCAGCGTTCACCACAGTTTTGGAGTCCCCAGAATCGCTCAAGCTGCCTATTCCTCTTATAGCTTACTGCTTGCTGACTTCTGCATGCAAAATTTAGGAATGCATCGATACATGAAATCCTAATATGAACCATACCAGTAACACTGGAATTTAAATATTCATGGCTACTGAACGCAGATGGTGAATATTGTGTGCCAATACATTATTGCTTTGAGTCTCTGCTGAAGCAAGGCTTAGTCCAACTTGATCTGAACGCAAGGATTCCAGTCTAATCCTTTGGGGCTTTGTCTTGCAATTACAACAAATAACTATTTATTTTACACTGCCTCTGGGAAAACCCTGAAGCAGAAAACTATAATATCTGAAGTCTGGTCTAGTTTACRGAGCTGGATGAGGACTGCTAAAACACTTAGGGAATGCCAATGTTTCGATTTATTGAAAGCACTGTGTGACTTAAGCTTCAGCATGCAAAATTCATGAAAAGTTTTAGCATGTTTAAGATGGTTTTTCCAAGTTTGAAAATACATTTGTTTTACTCAATCTTTATAAAAAATGGACCCCAGACAAATGCTGCCATTTGAAACTGACTGTTTAGTTGTCCAAAGGTAAGTAAAAAGAACTGATAGACTAGAAACACTACGTGGCAGCTTGTACTAAAACCAACCAGATGCAGTGGGTTTGCTTTCAACTCTTTGAACGTGRAAACCCATTGCATACTGCAGTGTGAAAGGTTAAAAGATGGGTGTTTTCAGGAGGTAATTAAAGAACACTTGCCCCACGAGCATATTAGTACCTRACTCTGACCCGCGGGTTATGACTTTCTTGTTGATTTGGGCAGGGACATGCCATGCACACACCTGGTGTTTATAGAAAGCACAGTGCAGAGATAAGCTTCCCCAATTGTTCCAAAAACCTGCCTTACACCTCCAACAATAGCAGCGGCAGCACTTGCCAGAGTATCAGAACAGACTGGTTGCAAACAAGTAAAGGCAAAAAAATAATTCCTTTCACCGAGGAGTTAAATCGCTTGAAAACTATAAAAAGTCTTGCGAGCATGTCCTGCAACCTGTTGACAACATAGCTGAGATCACTGGCATGGGACTTGTTGATAGCTTATACAGACACCTGCACTAGAAGCTGGAGTAGCGGGAATTTCTCTTAGCTATGCTCAAACTGACTGTAYTCTTTTGCCTGTGGCTTGGGATGCATTTTTTGAAGATTACATATAGTCTCATTAGAGGTCCCTGCTCTTGTGTGCCACTGATACAGGCACTGCCGTCTTCCAGCTGTACCCCAGGCGGCAAGGTAAATCCATGGTGCTCTGCCTATTGTTCCATCTTCTTTCTTTCTGAGGTCCCCTAAGTGTTTTTACCTCTTCAACTTCCCCCTTTCCTTACCAGCAACCTTCCCAAACCCAGCTCCTGACATCCCTCCAGCCAACTGATCCCTYCCTGCTTTCAGAAGACACTCTTCTAATGAAAGTCACACATGTAAAAAAAAAGCAGCTTAAAATATCTGCAGAAGCCAAAAAGGAGAAAAAAGGAAAAAAAAGAAGGAAAAGGAAAAAACCTAAGAAAAAGCAAGGAATTTCTTTCCAACATAGGAATTTCCAAGAAATTCCAACGAGGAACATCTCTTTTTTTCTTCCCTCATCACTAACTTCAGAGGCACAGCTAGAACTGGTCACCATCCTTTTTTTTTTTTTTT